AGCCCCACCTTTCTCCAGTGCAGTATGGACCAGTCCATGGCAAATGGTGGAGCTGTGGTTCCACCCCTGGGGCAATAGATTCCAGGTGTACTGGATGTCTCTCCAAGTGAACCCAAACTGTGGCCTGCACTCTGGCGCTATCGGAATGGAGAAGAACGCATTAGCAATGTCAATCGTGGCGTACCACTTGGCTGCCTTCGACTCCAGTTCATACTGGAGCTCTAGCATGTCCGGCACTGCAGCACTCATTGCTGGCGTAACTTCATTCAGGCCACGGTAGCCCACAGTTAGCCTCCATTCACCATTAGGCTTTCTCACTGGCCATATAGGGCTGTTGAAGGGTGAGTGAGTTTTGCTGATCACCTTCTGGCTTTCTAGTTGACGGGTCAGCTGATGGATGGGGACCAGGGAATCTTGGTTGGTGCGGTACTGCCGCCGCTGCACCGTGCTGGTAGCAATCAGCACTCGCTGATCCTTAACCTTAAGCCGCCCCACCACTGAGGGATCCTCTGAGAGGCCGGGTAATGTGGACAACTGTTCAACCTCCTCCAGGGCAGCTACACCAAAAGCCCACCGGTACCCTTTTGGGTCTTTGAAGTACCCTCTCCTGAGATAGTCTATGCCCAGGATGCACGGGGCATCTGGGCCAGTCACAATGGGGTGCTTATGCCAGTCGTTCCCAGTCAGGCCCACTTCAGCTTCCAGCAGGGTCAGCTGTTGGGCTCCCCCTGTCACTCCAGAGATGCAAATGGATTCAACCCCACTGTAGCTCACTGGCATCAGGGTGCACTGTGTGCCAGTGTCCACCAAAGCCTTATACTCTTGTGGGTCTGACGTGCCAGGCCATCGGATCCACACTGTCCAGTAAATCCGATTATCCCTTTCCTCCACCTGGCTGGAGGCAGGGCCCCCCTAATCCTGCTCATCATCACTCATTTCTTGAATGAATGATTCACTGGTCCCCTCAGGAGAGACAGACATAACGTTGGCCATTCTATTCTGCCTGGGGGATTTCTGACTGGACACTGGAGCTGCGCTTTTCTTGGAGGACTCCCCTTTTGTGATGGTCTTCCCTTTCAGCTGCTCTACTCGTGCAGCTAGGGCAGCAGTGGGCTGTCCATCCCACCTCCTCATGTTTTCTCCATGGTTGCAGAGGAAAAACCACAGGGTGCCTCGTGGTGTGTGCCTTCTGCTGCCTTTCTCTTGGGTGGGACAACGTTTACTTCTAATGGCTGAGACATCAGCCCGTGCAGGTGGAATGTAGCACATGTCCTCTTCCATTTTCTGGACCCTCTGAGACAGTTCCTCCACAGCTGAGACCCAGGGATGTTGAGATGAAGGGAGATTTCCCTCATTGCCAGAGCTTGCCAACCACTCCATCCACTGTTAAGAGTGTGGGTGTCTGTCCACCAGGACACTATTGCCAGTGCTTTCGAGTGTGCTTCTGGTGCATTCTACAGGAACTTTTGCCACATCAGGTGTGTGCAAGGGGCCTCATGTAGGTCCATGGTTGACTGCTCATCATTCAGATCACCATAGATCATCTCAAACACAGCCAGTTCCATGGATGCCTTTCTCAGTGTTGGTCCATTTGCCTAGCTGACATAGGGTATCATCCTTGTAGGGGTGCCTCTCCCTTACACTGAACAGGAGTCGCTTCCAAAGGCTGAGGGTTTAAGTCTGTCGCCCTATTGCCCTGTCAATGCCAGCATCCTTGGCCAAAGATCCCAGCTGCTTGGCCTCTCTCCCCTCCATTTCATAAACACTGGCTCCATTGTCCCAGCATTGGAGCAGCCAGGTGCAAATCTGCTCGCCTCCCAGGCGGCCGAAATCTCTTGCAGCTCAGTCAGGGATAGAGATCCACTTTGTGAGCTGACTTTCTGGTATATTTTGTTTTCCTTATCGGGGCAACTGATACCAGCACTGGCTGTCTCTCTGGCTCAGCTGCTGTACTGGTGGAGGTGACTGATACTGACTCTGCCTGTTCCCCCGGCCCAGCTGCTGTACCAGTAAGTTCACTCTCAGGTTCTGTAGCCTTTTCTTCCCCTTGAGGGCAGTAGGCGCTATTAAAGAGGACACGGTAGGCATGGGCAAATCCCCAACACATTGCAGCGAGTTTTGTCTCCTGGCACACCCCTTCTAAGCATTCCGCCAGTTTATCGGTGCTCTGCATTTGTTCGGGAGTGAAATTCCAAAGCATTGGAGGCGACCACTGACCCAGGCATTTGCCCATCTTTTCCCACACCCCTTGCCACTCGCTATTACCTGACCTTGGGGCAGGTTTCTGGGCACTACTATTGTTAGAGAAGTGCCGCATGGCCAAAACCGAAATCAGGCAGACATTCAGAAAGCATTGTGCCACAATCACACTGGCATGGATGCTCAACTCTCAAGAACTGAGAGGATCTCTTCCCCTGGCTCACCTATAGAGGGGGTGAGACCCCCAACAGAAGCTCAGGCAGCAAACAGGCCTGCCCCCATACACACTGCTACAAAGGCATAATAAGCAGTCAGGAGCTAGTACAGAAAAAAGTGACCCTTTACACATTTTCCACCCACAACAAACATCAGCACTGGGATCACACACTGGATATAAGGATTAATCCAGCCCCACCACGCAAAGAAGTGGGCCATCTTTGCAAACATTTTCTTATCAAACAATATATGTACAAACAGGAAAAAAAAAAAATTGCACCCAACAGATTGTTCCAGCACACTCTGGTCAGGGTCTGTCCCCTTTTGATTCTTATTTCAACCAAATTCGTGCCCCACATTGGGTGCTAGAAAAGGCCGTGGTGGTTTAGGCCCTGCCAGGACCAACCACTTGCTGTTATCCCTCCCCCACCCTCAGGCCAGGCAGTCTGGAAGTGAGGCACAGACCCCAGCTCAGACCTGACATCAGCATGGTATCAATAACCCGACTGGAGATCCCTTCCCCCTGCTGGGGAAACTTAACCCTATCCTAGCTGAACCAGGACAAATACAGAGTCTGGAGGAAGACTGAAATAAATTTAAGTGATGTGTATTCAAGATGGGTTTATGGTGGGTTTCTTCAGTTTCTCTTAGGCTGATGTAGCACAAAAATCAAGCTAGATGGCAGGCTATGAGAGAGGAAAATCTGTCTGGAATCACTGGAGCCACAAACTTCTGGACCTCTGCGGCAGCCATGTTAGCCCCATTTTTGTCACCAGAGATGTGTTGTCTTCTGGCAGTAGTGCTGCTCAGAGCCATACCGTACCTTTTGTTTTCAACCTACCCAGCATAGGGATTGTACTCTATTCAGTGATGAGTACTTCACAGTAATGTTTGTGGCAGGTGACATCATTCAGCACTCTAGGTCATAGTTCTAAAGGTGATGATTTGATGCATCATTTTAACACTACTTGTCCATGTATGATCTAGGTATATTAGAAAGAAGTGCTTGGGGAGAGGGAGTGGAATTAGGATTATAAAATATGACAAAGTATTTAGAGTACATAACTTGCATTTACAGCAATATTTAATGTATTTGACAGGTCCACCTTCAATTACATAAGACGTATGCAGGTTTGGGTACCAGTAGACCAGCCTCAATTGAAGATATTCAGATAATCAAGAGCAAGAATAAAAAGAACTGGGATAAAGCAAGAGAAAGGTTTGCTGGAAACTTCCAAGAACCTAAATCACAAAGGGATACACCTAAGATTACGCCTTGGGTTAGAGGAACTGTAGAGTAAAGTATCTGGTCCCACAGCGGAGTAATTTCCTGTGTGTAAATACTTGGGAGAGAATTTATTTTTATTCCTTTTTTCTTTGGCTAAAGCAGAGGTTTGGTGATATGTAAAATAAGGTTGTGGAAAAAATTATACAAAATTAACTCTATACTGTTAACTAGTTTTTCTGTAGTCTTCATGCTTTTATAAAAATACTTCTAATAAGACGTGAGGGGATATTCAAATTTATGTACTTGAAATTTATTCTCATCAACAGGAAGTTTCTTTGTGTTTTTAACACAATTATTGAAAGTCTAGCAAAACATCTGTTAAAGTTAAGTATTATACCTTTTACATTTGAGCAGTGGTTTAAAAGCAAGCTGAAACAAGCAAAAAAAAAATCTCACAGACCCCTACTAAGAGAGTATCATATTGCCATTTCCTCTCTTGTATGTTTATTCATGATTGCCATTAAATTTCCAGCAAGAGGTACACCACTCTTAAATTCATCAGTTGGATACTAATTACATGTCAGCTTAAGAGACAAAAAAAAACCTGGTTAAGTATTCATCAGTACTGTTCAAAAATACTGTACTATATGAAATAAACTACAATCAATGGTGAAGAAAACAATGTTCAGAGACAGCTTGTAGCAAAATTTTCTTCTGTGAAGAACTTGCTTGAATTTGTTTAGTAGATCTGTATCATGCCTTTAAAAGAGGTTTGTTTAGAAAACTGCTGTCTGTATTATTTATTAACTTCTTGTTCTGATACATCCATTGCTGGCGATGGAGTTTACGCCAGAAAAAAACCCACCAACCCAACGGATTTTTGGTGGGGAAGAATTGCCAAACTGAAGCTAAAAGCTTGGTATTTATTGAGTATTCTTAAACACAATAAACTGTCAATTTAAGCAGTGTGCTTCTTGATACTATCTTGTGCATATGCTGGAGTGCTCTTCTAAAATGAAAAAATTAATCCCCTTTTAGACAGTTCTGATACATGTCCAAGTATCCAACTTGCTCGTCTCACCATCCTATTGGATCATGTAGGCAACTGTCAACCACTGTTGAGTAAATCCAGGACAAAGTGCTAGCTATTTAATATATCTTTAGACACTGTGGTGGGTTGACTCTGGCTGGGTGCCAGGTACCCATCAAAGCCACTCTGACTCCCTCAACTGGACAGGGGGGAGAAAATACAACAAAAGGCTTGCAGTTGAGGATAAGGACAGGGAGATAACTCACCAGTTACAGTCATGGGCAAAACAGGCTTGACTTGAGGAAATTAACTTTATTTATTGCCAATCAAAACAGAGTACTGTAATGGGAAATAAAACTGAATCTTAAAACGCCTTCCCCCCACTCCTCCCTTCCTCCTGGCCTCAATTTTACTCCTGACTCCTCTATCTTCTCCCTGAGTGATGCAGGGGTGTGGGAATGGGGGCTGTGGTCAATTCATTGCACATATTTCTTCCTCCTACCTCCTCAAGGGAAGGACTCCTCACTCTCTTCCTTACAAACTTCTCCATTGTGGGTCCTTTCCACAGGCTGCACTTCTTCATGAACTGCTCCAGCATGGGTCTCCTGCAGGGTCACAAGTCCTGCCAGGAGCCTGCTCCAGCATGGACTTCCCATGGAGTCACAGGCTCCTTCAGACATCCACCTGCTCTGCAGGCTCCTCCAGGGGCTGCAGGTGAAGCTCCCCCATGGGCTGCAGGGGCACAGCCTGCCTCACCGTGGTCTTCACCACAGGCTGCAGGGGAATGTCTTCCCCAGGACCTGGAACACCTCCTCTCCTTCCTCACTGGTCATGATGTCTACAGAGTTGTTTTTCTCACATACTCCTTTCTCTGGCTGCAGCTGCAGTTTTTTTTTCCCCTTTCTAAATGTGCTGTTCCAGAGATGCTACCACCATTGCTGATGGGCTCAGCCTTGGCCACCGGCAGGTCCATCTTGGAGTCAGATGGCATTGGCTCTATTGGACATGGAGGAAGCTTCTGGCATCTTCTCACAGAAGCCACCCCTGCAGCTCCTCCACTACCAAAACCTTGCCACGCAAACCCAATACAGCCGCATACAATATAAAGTACTCAATCTATGTTATTTAAGCCATTAAAGTACACAAGTTTAACAACCTCAAGCACGCCTTACTTCAGCAGTGTAGTGTTGAAGGTGAGTTATGAGCACTCTGAATGCCTGCAGCATTGCTTAATTTAATTTAAATCAGTTCAGCCTTTGTAAGTAGTTATTTTTTACTGTTTTAGTGTAGTTATGAATTACTGGCTTACTTTGCATTCCTTTATATTGACAACATTTTCAGAGGCTATTTCTAGCTGTCAAAACAAAATTGTTCTGTATGGAACAGCTACATGTTAACTTTTAGGTCACCATGTATCTAAAATGGTACCTGCTACTAGGAGGAAAAAAAACACTGTATGCTAAAAGGAAATAAAGTTGACCTTTCTGGTCTTCATAGTAAATCAAACTACAAATCTTGATCTGAAAGGAGAGAAAGGCATCTTATACATACATCAGAACCTTAGCTGTTCCTCTCCCAAATTATTCAAGTAACAGCTCTAGGAAAAGTCAAATTACTGATTTATTGTTGCCTTTCAAAGAAGAAACTTGAGAAGATTTAACTGAGTTTGCATTTCATAAAGTTTTTTAAGACATCATTCACCTTCTATGAGAAGCATGCTCTCACGCATTCAAGCACTGCTTTTGGAACTGCAGGTTTCTCTTTCAGCAAACAGTTCTATATGAAGGGTTGAAGCTTAGTCTCACTTTAGCGTTGGTGTCACAAATCCCATCTCTTGCTGCTGCCTAGGAAAGTGGAAAAAGCAGTACCATTAATATACAGAGCATTGTTAACAAAACATCTGAACATAAGGTCTGATTAATCATCAAGCAGCTGTGTGCCTTTATTAAGACGACTTGTATTGAGCTAAATAGGGCTTTTCATCCCTTTTTAAGTGACCTCTTAAGAAGTTTTAAGTACAAATGAGTTAGATGAAAGCCACCAATGGTCTGCAAGCCTTATGTGCAAATGCAGTATTGCTTCCCTCACGTCAGGAGGGGAACATGAGTTGCCATTGCACTAGTATGATTTTGGAGGCTATAACCAATAAGATACAGCATAAAGTAACTGTCTTACCTTCTCAGTCCTCCAGCCATCCTCTTGTCTGTTCCAACTTAGGATACTTAATACTGAATACTTAAAAGTTGCTTTTCTATACATCCAAAGTCAAAATTTTAGCAGTTTACTTTGTATATATATATTGACCATATATAATCTAAAGCCTGTAAAGAATAACATTACATTCATCAGTTTATATAAACAAACTTATTTTCTGTAGTCCCAACAGTGAATTTTGCAAAGCACCAACTTAAAAAACACATTTCCAAAAATTCAGATAAACTAAGGAGTAGGCACATTCACATTATCAATGCTGAACCCAGCTGGCAAATAAAAATAGGGAGTGCGTTCATCATTGTTTAAGAGCCACCAGACTAAACACTTGTGCCAACTACTGTATACATAGGAAATATTTTCACAGAACATACCATAGATGAAGTTTCTGTTCTAGCAAGAACAGGCCGTTTGCTGCTCTAACTGGTTGTATGATGTGTACCTGACAGAGGCTTTCAGTCAGCAGGTAACAAATCCATAGCAACATAAAGATGTCAAAAATAGCATCCTGTTACAAACAAGATGTATTTAAATGTACATACCAGAAGATTTTGTTCTATACAGACTTTTTTAAAGTGTTGCATATCTTTATGACCAGTGAATGTGGGATTTTTTTTCGCATCCAGCTGCTGCCTCACAAATGTTTTTCATCTGCATCTTACTGTAATCCGGAAATACCTTTGTGTTGATGAACAGACCTATGTACCCGTTTCTGCGGCCCAGCTAGCACTGATCTTGGTACAGCCCTACAGGGTAGCCCGGCACCATCCACCCTCATCCGTTTGTGCTGAAGCGTCCCGGTGCTATTTCAGGACTGCACACAGGGAACACGCTGCCTCTTCTGCTGCTCCTCGAGCTCTCTGGTTAAGACAGGAGGAAAAATGAGGTGTTTGGCCTGGCCGTCCCGCCGGCGGGGCCCCTCCTGCGCGGACACGCGGCTCTGCGCTGGGCAGCTACCGCCGTTTTCTCCCCCTTTAC